CTGCAAATATAAATCCAGAATTAAACTAGTAGAAATACAAGTCAGAAACTTTAAGATGACAAAACAAAATGATCTGCTTGCTGGTATGTAAGATTTTCTAAAGAACACTATTCAAAAGAAAAGTTGTGACAGAAGCATTATTATTAACTAAAAATATCGTAAATAAAAACTTACAGCGCCTTCCATTAAATCCGTCCGATCACTGAATTTAATTGCATAGACGCTGACAATATCATTTTCATTAGGCGATAGGAATGACTCGTGAGTAGCTAACGATGAGCGATGAAACTTTCCTTCGAATAACTTCTCTAAATTTTAAAATTAAGGTCAGAGAGAAACTGAAACTAATATTTAAAAACAAAAAAAAAAAAATCAATAATTTTTCCACACCAAGCAAGAATTGTTACAATTTGACAAGAGGACGAGTCATGATGATAATTCTCCCACCAATTAACAACATAAAAAGTTTCAAAAAACTTGCAAAACTCATGCAATAATTCCTCGAGAAAAGATAGTGGAAAGCTATGTCTGTAACAGCTAGCAAATTTACTACAGCATATTATTAATAACTGACTCAAAAATGCATTAGTCAATTTTTCGAAACGAGAGATTTCAAATTTTCAAATTCCTACATTACAAAAGACAACTATCTTCTAACCATCTCTAATAAATTGACCATTTAAAAAGTTCGAAAAAAGTATCACCTGAACAAGCTTCGTCGCCACACAACTTTGTTTTCTTTGCAATTGTTCCTACTGATGAAGCAAGTGGCAAAAAGCACATAATTACCTAAATAAATTACTTCCTAAACAACTATTGATAATATTGCGTTAAAAAACATACTCTAAAGTAGGAAAAGAAAACAACCTTTCACACCAAACAAAGAAAATCACTTCAATTTGAAAAAAAAAAAAAAAACCACTTCACGATAACCGAACTTATGGAAATAAGTTGCTTTCTTTTACATCGTTGACAGGTGGGGCACCTGACCGAATAGAGGCTATAAATAAGGTATTTACTTGGAAGGCTGTACCTGAGAAATGATTCACTCTGAAGTAGACAAAAATTACAAATTGGAAAAAAAAAAAAACAAAATTAAATTAACTTACATTAACATTAACGAAGTGGAAAAACATTGTGGCCATAATCGCAGAGTAATCTCAAACAATAAAATATAAAAGCAGATAAATAAATACAGAAAATGGGCTTCTTTTCGTTTTCAGATTTCCGAACACATCTTCTACCACCTCTGAATTAAATTTTATAAAAAAGTAGTTCGACACAGCAATTCGAAATAAGAAAGCTAAATTTGAATCCCAGCATTCTGATTTTCACATATGAACTTGTAGTAAAAGCTACTTAAAAGATATTTTAACTAAACTACAACCATTAAAGATCTCAGAAAAATGAAAACAATGAATTCGAATCATGCGTTTCCTTTACATATGTCTTCTCTATCAATAGCAGAAGTAGATAATAGAACAAATTAAAATTCGCTTGACATTAAATTACCACAAAAATTCCAAAGCTCAGATTCATTAGCAATTGAGCTTGTATTATACAACAAGCAGAAATGATACGCTTAGATTATACACATCATTCGAGTTTGCTTCTAATTTAGATCTCAAGCGAATGATCATCTCTAATAATAAAAGGAAAAGAAGAGCCATTAAGACTTCATCAAAGTACACCAACTTTCCCCTGCAGATATCGAATACCTGAACCCCGCATCCGGTAGGAAACGACCGGAAAGACTGATCACTCCGTCCGGTACAATCCAGCCAAACAAACCACCTGTGTTGACGTGTTCCAATCACCATTCGCGTTACGCTACTGCTCGAATACCTTGATGGAATCTCATGAAAATCTTTATGTCAATAATCTATTTAAATGATCTTAATAGTCCACAGCGGGAAGCTTAAACTTCACTGCGTCTTATTTACGAAGTATTCGCACGTGTGACTTACGTGGATGCATTTTCTGACGTGAATTTTATAAAGCATAAGGCTTTCGATTTCAAGCCCACTCACTCCAGAATTTGAAAGGATTTTGCTTAAGTACAAAAGGTAGATTTTTTGCTACTAATTAAATTTTCCAAATTTGTAGTTTAATGTACTTCTTGAGTTTGCAGCAAAAGGTAAATGAATTGGATGGATTCTGTAAAACATACTTCTCATTTGCATTTGACTTACTTTTAACTTGGCCAAATTTAATGTGCGGGAAATAACCCATCACTGAAACAGCTAGGAATCACTGCAGTGGGTTATGAAAGTGCGAAGGATGAAATATGGACTGAGATTTCTTTGCAGTTGAACTGTACAGATCACCATTGAACTGTACAGATCACCATTGAACTGTACAGATCACCACCGATTATTTGTTTTTGGAATTATCTTGCATCCACTGTTGACTGCAAATTGCTTGCAAATCCAACTGTGATGTGCACGATAGTACGGGCTTGTCTACATAAATGCTATTGTAATTCCAAGACTAATTTATGACACTTCTGTCTCTTAGGAAAAGTTCCTGTGAATGGTGGAACGCAGTGAAACAGACTGCAGCTGCAGTGTCATCTCTTGCTGCACCTACGTTGAGAAGAAATTCATCTCAGTGAAGTGTTCGATTACACTGTACTATCAGGATCTGTCTACCTGTTGCAAATGCTGTCACCATGGCAATTTGATGGGTCATCAGGATCGGATAAGTGTGGAAATATTAACTGAGTAGTGACCAGTCGAAGGAAGGAAGACAAGAAGACAGATAGATACATTGGCCATATTGTTCCCTTGTCACCATGGCAATTTGATGGGTCATCAGGATCGGATAAGTGTGGAAATATTAACTGAGTAGTGACCAGTCGAAGGAAGGAAGACAAGAAGACAGATAGATACATTGGCCATATTGTTCCCTTGTCACCATGGCAATTTGATGGGTCATCAGGATCGGATAAGTGTGGAAATATTAACTGAGTAGTGACCAGTCGAAGGAAGGAAGACAAGAAGACAGATAGATACATTGGCCATATTGTTCCCTTGTCACCATGGCAATTTGATGGGTCATCAGGATCGGATAAGTGTGGAAATATTAACTGAGTAGTGACCAGTCGAAGGAAGGAAGACAAGAAGACAGATAGATACATTGGCCATATTGTTCCCTTGTCACCATGGCAATTTGATGGGTCATCAGGATCGGATAAGTGTGGAAATATTAACTGAGTAGTGACCAGTCGAAGGAAGGAAGACAAGAAGACAGATAGATACATTGGCCATATTGTTCCCTTGTCACCATGATAATTTGGTGCTGAGAGGAAGTTTTTTGTGAATTGCATTCTTTTTTGTAGAGACTTTCATTTTCGATTGCTAAATGAGTTGTATGTAATATAAATGCTTGTCAAACAGGTTTGAATCTCACCTACCATTCATTATCTTTGCCTTTTCGATTTCATTTCCAGTTGATGCTTTAAATGAATTAAATGTGACAGTAAGGAATGCCACCTCATCTACCGATGATGCATATCTTCAAGCTTACTATGATCAAGTTTTCTACAATTTTTACCTTTTTATATGTACATCGTTTGCTAACTATTTAGTAACTTCTAAAAGAATCGAAACCAGAGCTGATTTATGGGATATCTAGCTCCGGCAAATCTTTAGGACGTAAATTTGGTTTCTATTAATTTTCCCGTCATTTCTGGCGACAAAGATTCACTATAATTCATAGTGCTGTGGTCATTCTCGATTAATGCGGGTAATTTAGAGGAACAATGCATCTTGACTTTGGTCAAACGCGAATGAATGATACTAATTTTTTAAGATCGAGAAATGAATTGTCTTACTTAGTGACATTTAAAGGTTGCATGGATTCAAATCAAAGTGAAGTAGTCAATTGAATTATGCAGGTATATGTACAATCTTTATCAACTACTTGCTGATATTCTGGACGAATTTAGAACTAATCAAAAGCTTAGAAATGTAACTTGGATATCTGCGCTTTAACTTATTATTCGCGTGGATATCTGCGCTTTAACCAATCAGTCATTGCAAATCATTGACTAATGGCCTAGTAAAATAAGAACATGTTTTGACGACACTCTAATTTGTTTAATTCTGTTATAGTCCATAATTTCGAAGTTTCAATTTTTTGCAGCCTTCTGCTTTATTTGCTTCTAATGTTCTTTTTCTCAAGTCTTTAGCTCTAATTAATCGTATCTATAGAATCGTACCTATAAAATTTCAATGTTATAATGAAAAAACCATGCGCGCAACTTTTTTTTATCCAACGAATATTTAATTCGGAGCTAGCATTCAATATCTGGTTAGTAGCAGATACCAGGAGATAGCTAGCAAAGTTAATTAGTCTTGGCTTGGACTAATTTCCCAAATTGTGGCCCATTACTGGCGACGAACATGTTTCCACTTTGTAGAAGAATCGATGTTGCTGTGAAATCTGAGAGTAAAGGGAAAAGTTGTGAAGATTTTCTTCCTCCAATTAATTCACAAGCAATTAAATCGACGATAATAGTAAAAGCTTCCATTCTTAGATGTTAAATAAAAAAAGATCATAGCCATTCCATGAAGAGTCTGCTCGTAAACTTTAGAATTTCCTGCATGCTATTAGAAATCTCTATCTCGAGATGTAGAGAAAAAATGAATCGATAAGGGTTGCACTAAACTGTTTGAATGTCATTTAAGAAATTAGAGGAATTTCGTACTAGCACCAGAAATCACTTTTATTCCTTCTTTAATTTAGCATGTGCATTGATTATTTTACATATAATTTACATTTGTCCTGCTTTGGAAATCGTTGATTTACAAATTCCGATTGGATTGAGAACTTGAGTTGAAAATTTGTTTCAACTTTCACTGCATTACAATTCATCATAAACTCTTATTCTTAATTTAAGCTTCGTCAGATTATATTGGAATTTGGAATTTAGAAAATTCAACATGAACTGGTAGAACCATCAATATTGTGCACAAGGTGTTAATTTACGTGAATGCATGAGAAAAAAGTAATCCTTCTGCTTACATTAAAATAAGTAGTTTTGAAGACACTTTTGTATGTGAGTACAGAAAAGACGTTTAAAACCTTACGTTAAGAATATTCCATTACACGAGTAGTAGAAGAGAGAATGCCGAAATGCATTCAGGACAAACTGATACTTTTGAATAAAGTAGAGTGAATAGTCCTAGTGATCCTGGCTCTTTCCCTCTTGATAGCAGACGATACGTCTCACGTGATCAAGTTGAATGAACTGAAGCAATCACCTGTTTAATTTTGCAGTTCTGAGAAAATGGTGCAGGTGGGATGCGAAGAAGGAGAGAAGTGCACTTCCAGGATATCATCTGTGCTGCAATTCCCGCATGCACATCAGTCCTACAAGTGCATATGTGGCTTGATACACGTTAAAGTAATCTTCCATGCAACGTTTTCCTGATAGATCGAAAACTACTCTGTACTCTTATTTCTAGCGGTTAGTTGAATAGCAATCATAAATGTACTGGTATTTGTTGACATACTCTTGAACTCTTGTTAAGAATGGCTGAGATTTTGTATCCTGGAGTTGTCCTCAATGTTTACTTTTGTTTACTGGGCAAGAATTTGAGTTTGATAGAAAACAAAAGAAATTGGAGCTTTAATCAAGCATTCATTCTTTTCACTAATTCTTTGCAGAGATGAATAATTGAATAATATTTTCAGCCTGCAACAAGAACAATTGGCGCAGTTACAGTGTTTCTCATTTCCATGAATTTCTTCTGGGTCATTTTGACTTATTCTGATACAAAAGATGTCTCAGTAGGCTCAGCTGTACTTTACAGCACTTATGTGCTAGCAGTTATTGTGTCAACATTTGCATTATTCCTTGGAGTGAGCAGAAAACGGTACAAACTTCTTCTACCGTTTATTTTTATTCAGGTTATCTTCCGCTCTTCCTGAATACCGCAGCTGTATTGAGAGGAAATTAATCTAAGCGAAAAAGGAATTCAAAAATTGGATTACAATTTTATGACAAGCAATCGGATAGTAACTTTGTAATGAACAAGTCTTTACATGTTTTGATGACCTACTCTAGACATTACAAGCTGATCAGAAGAACATCAATTCGTTTACCGCTCATTATGACTATGTACTTGATAGAAGATAAGCAATCCAAAAAGATCTGAATGTTATGCTAATCAGTCAAAAAGTAAGCAATCCTTTGTGACTCAGATAGTGACAGCATTGGCTTCAATAGTGTTTCTCATTATTGTCATAATATTTGCTGTGTGCAATACATGGCATCTCATCCATCCACATGTCAGACTACTGTTGGAGGATTCAGCAAATCAAAGTAAGAAGCAAGATGTGATTTTTATATCTTCTTTTTAAAATGTCACAACATAAATCGAAGAGAAAAGAAAAAAACACAGTTACGAAGCATCGATTTAGATAGTTGTAGAGGAACGTCAAACTCATTCAATTCATTCCTTCCTAAATTCGTAAATTTCAGATCAACCAAAAGAGTTATTAATATGCTTTCTGGCTGTTCATATTTTACTGTCTCTATGGTCAACTCGTATAGTGTGCACGTGCTATCGATATTTCGATGAACTTGAAAACCTTTATAAGTTACATGTCTTTATCTGAGAAAGATAAAAATCGATAATCGGTAATTAGAGAGTTCGAAAAGCAGTTTTTTTGAATGGTACACATTCCGTCAACTCAATGTTTCTAGAAGAAAATAAAATCTGTGATTATAATTTGAAGCGTAAAATAAGACTCTATGGATTGATTATAGCATTGTAAATAATATAAATTTTTACCACAAATTAGATATCACGTAGCACGTGAATACTTCCGAGATATCACGGATTATTCAAATGTGTAGCTTTTCTTCACTCCAGCAAATAGAGTCTATTTTGTTGTTTCTTTGCATAACATTATCGGTTGATTTAATCTAAACTGTTCAAATTGTTACATATTTCTTTTCCAATCATAAAAAATATTGAAATTCAGTAAATATTTTGTTTTCTATAGACAAGCGAGAAAAAGGTGTAATACTTTCATATATTCTGCCAAAAAAATTAAGCTGGACTTTGGCGGATTTTGAATCACAACTGATTTGGTAAGTGAACAAAGTACTCAATTATGAGTCATTTTCGCATTTTCGTTATTATGATATCCAAAACAGGAATAGAATAATCAAATATTTCTGGATGAAAATGGGATTTTTTGGTGACAAATGAAATAAGAATACATTTCTGCTAATTTCTGCTAATAAATCGAAATAAGTTTTTGGGCAAAGTGTAGGCAACCTCTAAAAAGGATGCCATATCTGCTCTTAATTATGATAGTTTGTGTGCTAGAATTTCGCTATAGAAGGCGATGATTAATTTATACCTTTGTGACAAAGGTATAAGTTAATCATCACATTACCAAAACTGGTTTGATTGCTTTTGATCATTTTATGGAAATTAAATGACATTAATACTTTTCAAATTAACCGGCTTGAACCAGCAATATAGTAGTAGTGGTGGATTTTGGTGTGACAGCAAGAGACATTTTTGTTGGTAGTTGAAAGGAGCAAAGCATTTGCAGGATGAAATGGGCAAGCAGTCTAGCTGAAGTGATTTAAGTTAACAGTAGCTCACATTCTGAGTCACTTTGGCTATGAAGTGATCAGAGGTTATTATTAATGTTGCTTGATTAAGATAAACTTTTTCAACGCTCCTAAAATTGCAACGAGAATTGAAGATTCAATGAAACAACGAGAAAGGATTGATTATTCATTTATGTTTTTGAATGTTGCATTCGTGAATTGCTGCTTTGTGTGGTATTTACAATATGTGTGACATTTCATCTGATGCAGTCATTGATAATATCTGCTTATCAGGAGTACGAATAGCAATTCTTATCAGTAAGCAAACTAACAATACTCTGTCATAGTTAATATTAGTGCAGCTTATCAGTACAACCGCTTGCTTCTATCCAATTGATTACTTCATTTACGGTCAATGATTATTTGCTGGTTGGACACGAACAATTCACTGATTTCGATTTTCTCCAATATTTAAGAGATAAATAATTTCTTTTGAATTAAGGAACCCTTTCAACAGCTTTCATATATTATCACATATATATACGAGTGCTAATAGCAATTCTAGATAAGAAGAAGAATTTCACATGTAATACTTATTAAAATAGTGGAAAAAGAAATTCTGTGTGCTGTATAAGAGGCGCTAATGTCTCAGTGACAGACAGTAATGTAGAATGGTCGTTAAAAGTAAGACTAATTGTCATTTCATCCGATTAATTGTATTCAAAAACTTGTCAAAGTTTTTTTTCAGCAATACAATGCAGATTAATCGTTTAATACTTTTCCTATACTTATATCAGACATTTCAATGCACAAATATGGCAATGGGTAATATTAATGATGATGGAGAAGCAATGAGTGGAAAAGAATTAAAATTACAAAATGTAAGTTTCATCTTCTCATCATAGCCATCTAAATATATTGAAGTATCGATCGAACAAAGTGGAATGATTGATTGGTTATTAGTGCAATTTCAGTATAAATGCAACGAGCAAAACAAGGATAATCAGGTTGTTGACTCGATCGATCCACTGAAATACATGGATTTGTTATTGCAGAAGACAATCAATAATTTCTCGGCCATTATTGATGTGACACGACAGCAATATATTGCCAACCTCCGTGACAAATATGCAAGTATCGTTGAGCATTTCACAAAAAATCATCTTCTAGCAAGAAAATAATTAAAACAAAAGTAAGTCGAAAAACGAAGACTGCAATTGTTAGCACTTCGATGACCGCTACTTTCCTTCAGATTTAAATTTTAGGTGCAATTCAAGAATACATTCGACAAAGCTCAAGCAATGAAAGATGATGACAGTTCGATGACATCGTTCCATGGACATCAATATGACGAGAGAACCATACCCTGCGGTACAGTGGAAATTAGGAGAGGAAGGGATGAGAATTAAAGAGGATACTGTAAAAGAGAGAAGTTTAATTACGAACAAATTGAAATATGGATCCGGTAATGATCAGTGCTATTCTAGAAATGTTTTTCAGCCGGTGAGAATTGCTTCACTCAACATACACTCCAAGAAAGGACGTTTAATCGGACAGCGAAGTTGCTGAGACATACGGCACTGAGACGTGCATTCCTGAATACACCAAGTAAATCCGTTGAACGGAAGTCCAGCAATCCTGAAATTCACGTAAACGTTGAACGACAAGCAAAGGATTTCTACGTTTCGTCTGACATTCCACTAAAAGGCGGAAATTCATGAAATTATTTAGCTTAAAGTGATACTGTCTTGTCTATTCTTGACAAAACGGTCTGAAGGGAAATGCTGGAGAAGTGTCTGATATGTTGATGAAGTTATTCTTCAAAAAAGCAGATTATCAAATATTTTTCTTTTTTTACTGATAGTATCACTAAAGGTCAAATTATCACAACTTTTGAATAGATCGTATTTGATCTATTGACTTAAAAATCCATTATGAATCAATATTCGCAAATCAAATTTGCATATTAATTTCAGTTTTAAATGAAAAGATTGTTGGAGAAAGAACGATTAAATCAAGAAGTGACATGGAGAATGAAATGGTCACAAGTGAAAAGAATGTCACACACAGTGATAAAGTGAAAAGAGAAAAGCTTGAAGATTCTACTGAATCGATGATAACTGTTCCTGTCAAAGGTACCTTTTTGCTAATGGTGATGAACTGAGAGATGATTTAAGCTAGAATGATTAAAGGTCGCTTAGAATTATTTATGTTTCACCCAGAGATCAATGTTGCAGTTCCCGCGGTGACATCACAGCAAGTAGCAGAACTGTCGATGGGGACAGACTGGTGGAATGGTACTTGGTTTTGGATAATCGACCTGGTTGTACTGATATTACTTCTCATCCTGATTTTGTCGTGCTGCATTTGGCATTGCGGTAGCAGTAGCAGCAGTAGTAGTAGCAAACGTTCTAACTACATCAGAATTTGATATCATAGCAAGCATTTCATTTCGCTCTTACTAGATACGTTAATTCATGGAAAAAGCGATTTGAAACAGTCGAGGAATTCAGTTATATTCCGGAAAAGCATATTTCAATCCTGTTTCCGGCTAATAGATTTAAATTAGATTACAATTGTTAAAGTAAAACAATGCGTTCTGTGTACGATTTACTTTTGATGCTGTAATGTTGTTTGTGAAATGAAATACTTTTTATAAGCAAACCTGAAATGAATTTATAGTTAAACAAATTTTTTCCATTCTTAAAATTTTTGACGGAAAATTATTACTGGCTGAAAATGGGAAAAGTATAGCAAGCAAGAAAGTATCAATCAGTGAAATTATCAATTTATTCTCTTCTACACATACAAAATGATCGTTCGAATTCATATTTACAAATAAATCACTGAAGAAATAAGAAAAGGAAATTGAACAAATTTTAAAAACAAAATACTGAAAGTAATAATGAGGCGTTGTTCTATGATTTAAACCATCGATCAGAGTTAATTAGCTTAGAACGTCGAGGAGAAATGAGGAAGAAAGGCACAAATCATCGCATTTCTACATTTGAGATGATGACTCTCTCTACTGATTCATTCGGAGAGAATTTTGCCAATGGAAGATTGAAAATCTGAGAAGAAACAAGAGTACTCGACGTTCAATAAATTCAAAAACAGTAAAATCATTTTGAAGTCACCGGTTGTAAGCTAATAAATACGGAATACAATCATGAATAACTACATGTATGTAGTAAACCTGTACACCTATTAATTAATGTTAACATTTAACGTGACGTACCTGTCGTTGACATCACGTGATGGATTATTTCACTGGTAAGTGTGTTCTCTAGACAGGCAGCTATATTTAAAATGAAAATCGCTGAAAGACTTAGCTGAGAAATAAAGGAATCCCTAACAGAATTACTCATTGTAATTACAATTGAACAGAATTTGAAATACAATCTCGAGCATAAGGTGATGATCAATGAGTATCATAGAAAAACGAGTAAGTAATTCGAAGAGTCACCACCATCTAAAATTCTCTGAGAGAGAGAGAGAGAGAGACGTCCTCTTGGTGGTCACTGTTAGTTTCTCTTTCGTCCGATATCCACGGAAATGCGAATGGATTACACCCGTTTGTCGCCAGTACGTAAAGTGCTGCTGCTGCTGAAGAAACGTACGAGGTCTAAGATATTTGCACGCTAAATCTGAACGTAGTTAAATTGATTCAGATAAAGCTGAAACTTAAACAGCAAGCAATAATCAAAAAATCATGATGGTAAATGAATATTCCGGGAAATTTTCCTGACAACTCTATTTTTTTGAACCATCTTTTGGATTTGTCAAATTAACCGGTGACTTTATGGTGCCTGTTACGGCTGCACTACTACTCATCAGCGGTGCAAACATATGCTGAGTTTCGGACCATGAACCTCCGCTTCCGACTAGGGATGTCGCAGTAGCAGTAGTTCCGGGCCATATTCCTGAATATTGCTTGGACAGATTCTCCATAGCAATCATTCGTTGCAAATGCTGCATGTAATTAGCAGCTGCAAGTTGTTGCTGATAACCGCTAAGTACAAAGGACGTCAGATCAGTTCCTGTAGTTATAGCGGCACCATTTGTGGTACTTATTGCTGGAACAAATGTAGGCAATTTGGTTAGGGAGACCGCTTGACTGACACCTCCGATCGGTCGTGATCGGTCAACTTCCGGACTTACAGATGATGCAACCGTGCTTACCGGAGTTGATGTGCTGCAAGAAATCAAGACTAAATGAAATGGTCAGATACATATCAAAGACGAGACTCACTTCATTAGAAGACAAATACCGCTCTGCGCTTACATTACCGATTATAATGAAAACATCAAATGATTTCATCTGACACTTCAAAATTCTCACTCTTTCTCTTACTATTTCTCTAATTGTCACTACTTTAGCAGTACTTATTGATCAGTCTTTCCTTTTGGTTCTGTTTTTAATTAACTTACTACCTGGCTCCGTCCGAATTCGTCATATTCGGTTCGTTATTTGTACCAGCAATGGTTGCAGCCGGAGAGCGACGGAGCGGTTCCGTTGTATCTTTTAATGAAGTGGCTGTCAGGGCAGTAGCGTTCAACAGAGCAGGCGTTGTCGCCATAAATGCTGCCGCAGCCGGACTGATCATCGATTCCGCTGCAAATCTTCTTCAATGATTATCATTTATGATGCTTCAACCAAGCAATGTTCCTTATTCATTACTGTTTGGATGAATTTAACAAACCTATTGCTTGATGCTGTGCAGTCATCGCAGCCATGATTGCTGCCGGATCGGCGCTATTCTCAGCGGACTGTTGCACAGCGGCAGCAGCAAGGAGCGCGTAAGGATGTGGTTGCATTAGAGGATGAGAGGTCCGCGGAACATGGGAAGCTGTGTGTCCGTAAGGGTGTACTGCGGAAGTTCTCTCTTGCTTCCTCCATTTCGCCCTTCGATTTTGAAACCAAACCTCAAATAAACAGTATGTTCCTTTGTCTCAAATTAGTTAAATGAAAACGAGAAACAGGGAAATTTCTACCTGAACTCTTGCTTCCGTAAGAATAACTCGTTGTGCTAATTCTTCCCTGAAAAAAATTATTTGGGTAAATTTCTAAAATTAAGAACTTTGCATAAATGTATGTAGCAAGTGGAAGGGTAATCTTTTTTGGTAGCAACTGTAATTTTATTTAAAATGGATGTAATAAAATTAAAAGAACAATTTAATAAAGGTTGATAATTCTGTGGCATGGCATGTCATGCATCATTTTGTATTTCGATACATCACATATGCATTAAATTCTTTTCATCATGTGAACATTAGTAGAGAAGATAACCGTAGTTAGTTAATTTATCAAATTGACAGTGTTGAATAGAATGACAACTGTGACAGGACGACAGGTGTTTTGCAGGTCCCTCTAATTAGGAAATTAATCGTTATCAACTTAACCAAAAAACGATGAGGACGGACGGGAAGTAGGCAAGTATAGGATCATCTAAAGAGGATAGAAAAAGGAAATTAAGTGTTTTCCCACGTGGGGGGGCATTTATCGTCGTCATCGCAACCATACTATTTCGCGAATAATAGAAATAATAATTTGTTGTAATTATGCGCTTATGTCATTCGTCGGTATTTTTCTCTTTTTGAATTCGTTTAAACTGATAATTAGTCTTCTATCATTCTATATTTATTGGTATCACAATAAGTACTATCATCAGATGAAGAAATTGGAGAACGGAAGCCATCTATCGCTACTTGAATGAATTGCAGATGTTTTTGATTGTTGCCAAATGAAAGAAAGAAAGATTTTATCGGCTTTGCCAGATCATTAATGAGAAATTATCTAAGAGACATTTCTGGATTACTTTGTTTCAGTTATGCGCTTTTGTCACTTTTATCCTTCCACCAATGCAGAAAAGAAATTTGTTTTAGCATCTCAGACTCTGTCATTCTTATCAAACACTGATAGATAGTATCAGTACAGTACACAGCTTTATTGCTTATCTCTTTGACAATTTCAATAATTGCGATCAATTAAATTCAGAAAATAATTGGACCTAGCATTAACTTACTGAATCGTTTCATTATTGACAGAACAATTATTCAATATATGTGACGAAGGAGGCTTAAAAGGAGTTATTCCGCAGAGATTTTTAGCATAGACAATGAATTCGTTTTTATAAATTTCTGTAAAGTACCTGGTAAAAACATCAGGATAATGTGTCCTTGCGAATACTTTTTCCAACTCGTCTAACTGATAAGCGGAAAATGTTGTCCGATATCGGCGCTGTTTCCGCTTTCCGTTATCCTCAGGACTGTTGGAGCAAGAGGACGGTCGGTCACTGACGGCCGAAAAATCCTACGGAAAGCAAAGATGTGTCCATCTTATGTGGTTTGTCACTAATGAATAATCATTAATGATTGCTTAATTACTTTATTCTTGCTGGTTTATCGCTACTCACTGTTTAGTTATTAATGACTGCTTAATTGGTTACCTATTGACAATTCTCTTTCTTAATGCTTAATTATTAAAGGCCACTTAATTAATTACTTATTGATAGTTTTTCCCTGCTCACTCATTGATTAGTTATTAATGGCTATTTACGTCTTCAGGCTGGAATTAAGTTGTTTTTCACTTTTTGCTTCATCGCTTTTAGGAGAGCATTTATTTATCTATCGATATATTATATTAATAATGGAAAAGAAATAAAACGAATGAAAAGTTAAAGCTATACGGAATAGTCATCTCAAAAATACTATGCTATTGAAGTAAATAAATTGCTTACATTTGATACGGAAGGCTTCATACTGTGACCGGTTGTTCCTGAATATTACAAGGATTGTTATCATTTTCACTGATATTTGTTAACAAATGTTGCACTATATGAAGCATAGGAAGTTTTGTTTCAGTAAGGCATCAAATGTTAAATGAAGTAAATAATGCGGAATATGGAGCTAGACTATCTATGCTCTCCGGAAACTTAAGCAAATTCCGATTCGGACAGCATCCGTCCAATTCATCTGCTAACGGATTTTCACTCATCGACAAGAGTTTAATTTAAATGAGAAAGTGAGGAATTTCTGCCATAACAACAAGGTTACTTCACCGACTACCCGTCATGCTAGCTGGATCAGATCATTTTTTTGTCCGCTGCAATAAGGGTTCTGAGGTTCTGGACTACTTTTTCCGTTCTGGAAACGATCCGATATTCATGAGACGGAAGATTCGTGAGACCGGCCAATGACATACATATAGTCCAACATATACTGCTTTAGCTATTTATTTCTATGAAATGTGTCAGACGGGTGGTAGGAATAATTGCAGAATTAAGAGAAGGAGAATGAATGCAAGCAGGTGCAGGAGGCAGAACGAAGTGCAGGCTGCATTGCAAATCATTTCAAGCCATTAGCTTGGATGGACATTGTGACTCACCTGTCGCTAGCACTAGCAAAGGAGCAGAATCAGAAACTGTGTCCGGTTTGCCGGTGGTCAGTGCAACTGTCAACTGACCACTCCGACAGTCCTAGGAAGCAGTTTGTAAGGAAATGAAGGAATGAAAACCTGCTGAAGACTCGCTGCCACCTGCATTATTATTACTTTGTCGCTCATCATCGCTATCCTTCCTGTGAATTGCTTTGCTCCTCGTAGTTGTAGCTGTTAGGGCGGAAATTGCGAATGGAGAATTCAGGAACGAATTTGTTTCGCTGGGTTTCGCTAATGCCGCCACCGAAAAACCTATGGAAATAACAAATAGGATAAGCTTGGCTATTTTTTAAAATTATTTACAATGAAACAAATTCCTGAACCATCACAACAAAAACAAAAAAGTGTTAGGTTCATTTTTTTTTCTTATCGAACAATTCGCTGAAATGTTTCAATTCAACAACTGAGCTGGGACACTTCTCGAGGGTACCTTCAGCTTTGCTTTATAGGAACTATCGGGAAGGCTGGAACCAGCAACCCTTTGTATACCTGTAATTGAATTAGAAAGGAAATACCGTTTGAAAGGGAATTAGTGGAACCATTTGAAGAAGTTATGCTTGTTTGTTGTTGTTGTTGCTGTGCGAATATCACTTTCTGTTGCTCATATAATAATTGCGTCATTGTAAGGGGTGGACGAAGTAGAAAAGGTGCCAAATTAGGTACCGTAGTTGGCACCACAGTTGGCGTTTTTGACGCTGCTTCTTGTGACTTGCTATCTTCGTCACCGGGATCAACCTCTACGGTGTCAGGTGCTTCTGTTTCCTCCGAACAACTTGTAGTAGTCAATAATTTTTCGGGCATTCAATTTTATAGCACAAAATTTTGACGAAATTTTTAAAATTTCGTTTTTAAAAAGAAAAATAAATTTTCAGTGATGCACAGCGTCTTCAAATTTTGTTCCAACCTGAAAAAGAAATATGTAGCAAAAAATGAGTGAACAAATTAAATAAATTATTTTGCGAAGAAATAAAAGCAAACTTATTAAGTTATTAACGCTTAGCAGGAAAGAAAAATGTGGTAAAAAGCAGAGACAATTGTTAGCTCAAAAGTGAAATTCGATTTCAACAAGAAATATTAGTCAAATAATTGCATTAAGAGAGATGATTAGTAGTATTTAAGCAAGAGAACACACAGCTAGCAGATACCATGCCTATTTCATATCAAATCATCCGTGACTAATTGAAATAAGACCAATCGCAAAGTTAAGTGCTGGGTCGCAAGAGTTATGGATTCTGCAAATGGCCACCACTTGGCGCTCTTGGCAGTCCCTGGTGGGCGCTTTTTTGCAAGACATTGTGATTAACAAATTACCAGATAATAGGTAAGCAATTAAAACTAGTTGTATTTCCGGGACTCAGAAATGAGCAGCAAAAGAAGTAAGTGGTAATTTAGAGTATGAATGAATAAGAGAACATTTCTGCAATTCTCAGCGGACTTTTTTTTCTACATGAAATCAATGATTAGTGCAAAATTAAATTTTAAATATATTTGAAGAATAAGAAGGAAAGTATCGTCGTCATCTGATGGATCTGAAGAAGAAGAAGAAGAAGAAAAGGGCAGAAATAAGGAGAGAAAAAAGAGGAAAAAAGAGGAGAAGAAGGGATAAAGTAAATAAAAATGTAATTTAAGGACTTTAATTTCCCGTAATTGAGATACAAATTTTTGCTGATGCTATTGCTGCTACAGCCATTGCCGGAACGGAGAAGAGCAAACACTTTCAGGTTTGGAACAGCCAAAAAATTTGCCCTTGAGAAATATGAAGAGAATTCACTTGCTTACTTCCACAATGGATACTGTATTTTAAGTTAAATGTATATATTCGTATTTCAACTTCAAATATCAAACAGTTGTGTATAAATATAGCGCTAGTGTTCATTTCAAGGATATGAAATTTAAATTCAATTAGAAAATGTAAATTGGTATCAATTTAAGATGAAAAAATATATAGGCTTCAGATAGAGTTAATTTCTACTTTTTGGGCTTTTTCCACTCTTCAAAAGAAGCAAATTTACTTTCCTAAATTGATTTCCCTTAGTGATTATTAACTATCATAAGTTAAATAATTTGTTGTAAATACTTTTCACAAAATGTCATAGTTTACTATTCCATTTAGAGTGGCTGAAGACAAATCATTGTGTAAGTTCAACACATTTCCTTTAAACAATGAAAACAAATTAAAAATTGAGATTTAATAGACAGAAAAAGCACTGAGAGAAATTAGCGCCAAAGAAAGGCGACCAACTCCGCCATCCGAGAGATATTTGCGCTGTTGCAGGTATTATCTCAAACAAATCTCACTTCTCATTTCTGATGGAAGAGACTGAAGTTGCAAGATTAACCACATCATATGCACTTTACAAACAAGCAGAAGTATGGAGGACTTTTCCATGTCATCTTACTATGACACATACACACATACACACATGCACACATACACACACACACACACACACACACACACACACACACACACACACACACATTTCAGAGAATTGAGTCTTTGATAATGTGATGATGATACTTTAACCAAGTTATAGTTTCAAAAGTTCAATATTTTAACAGTGCAGTTATGCGACAACTGAGTGTCACCAATAATAGCAGTGGAAGATGAGCAATCACAGATCTGTCATATCAAATTTCATTGGGAAAAGCTAAAAACGTCAGTCCACCTTTAGGCAAATTTCATTACTATTCATTAATCTTCTCGGAAGCGGAAGAAGACGTATCTCACGGATGCTACACGTAATTTGTTCTTTGAAGTGTTCATTCCTAGTTTAGCCTAATATTTACTGGTAATTTTTTGAATCGCATTTAAAATTGTAAATGAAAGTAAATTTTTTAATCTGATAAAAACAACATTGGGTGACACTGGTAGTGTGACATACAAAGGTAGAAAGCCATCATTCCCTCAAGCAATAACAATAACAATAATCGAAATACTAGTAGTAAGTAGTAACAATCATCGAAAAGTAGTAATTACTATTAAAATAATAGGAATAGAGAAAGTGAAAGAGAAAAGGGACTGAGAAGGGTATGAGAGAGAGAGAGAGGGAGAGAGAGGGATGGAAGGAAGCCATTGCATTGCCGAAGTGGCAATTAAGCAAATCGAAAATAGCCGGGTTGAAAAGTAATAAATTTAATAAAAGTTATAAATGGATGGCATTATTGCGTGCCTTTCTCGAGATGTTCCTTCCTCGAAGCCAAGCCGAAGCATTTGTTGGCAATGAATGCATCAAGAAGGATTATTATTATTATTATTATTTTTGATCATTGCTTTGTCCACTCACATAAGTAATCAAATTTTCACATTGCATGTTATGAAATCAAATAAAAAAAGCAAAAAAAATGCACTGAAATTATTAATTTAAATCTTTAAAATTCAATTCAGTTCTAATTTCACTCTTCCATTTCCATTTCAATATCAAATGAATATTATTTATTTGATATTGAAATACTACTTCTCGATAATATTGTTGACATAATTATCACTAATTATATTGCTATAACCGCAATTATCATCCATATTTATGCTAATCTCATCTTAATATAACATAGCATATTTAATGCTGTTGTTATTAACATTGCTAATATTAGCATCGCATCAGATATCTTTGCTAATTATTATCATCGAAACATCATTCCGCTAAAATTACCTTTTTCATAGCTAAGCTTTTATGACTGCCACCATCAATGCTTCCAGCATTTCGATATCAAAGTATCATAGCAAGATGACTACTGATCACCTTAAATCTAAAAAGTATTACTGAGAGGGAGAGAGAGAGAGAGAGAGAATAAGTCTCCAACCTTACTTCTCAGTTCATAGTTTGAGTCCTTTATGGTCGAGAAGAACTACAGATATAAAACTTAGTTATGCTGTCCTTATCATTTACTTGCAACCTTACACATTTACTATTATTATAAGTAACTGAAAACAAGTAAGTTTGATAGAAATAAACAAAATCACTGAAACTTTTGCATAAATCTTATTTCATCAGACCATTTAGCAAATTAATTTCTTTGAAATGTCATTGTTGTTTAGTGTTGTTATGCAAATTAGGAAATTAACCAACAAAAAGTTTGACGCACTTGCACTCTTTTTGAGATAAGCATTGAGATATGGTACTTGAAAAGAAAGCAAAGAGCAATAAACATTTTACATTTATATTCGATTAATGGTCTGAGCAGGTCAACGAGTCATCATAATGCTTTAGCAAGAAGCACTGCCTTAATTTTCATTAAAAGAAATGAAGAATAGAGTAGTAATTGAGTTTGTTCAAGTAGGAGTCAGATTATAAGACAGAAACTATTGCAATAGAAGTGTTAATTCAAAAATTAAAGAATTGATGGGCAGCGAATGATTGCTCATTCTTTCAATCTTTTTAGGTATTTCTGATTGATTTTAATGAAATGTGTGAATTTTTCAGTGATGAGCAATGGCTGAGCAGAATCAGCTTCATTTCTCTATTCAAATCCTAAATTGATAAATATGATAGATTTGAGTTGATCCGGACAAGGTGCTTAAAGGACAGGTGAAGGGCGGCGAAAGATGTGTCTCTTCTGAAATGAACTGATGATGACAGCAATTAAGTTAGGTCGTGTGATGAGCTCAATTCACTCAAAAAAACTGCAACCATTGTGATCAAATAAATCCTTTGCTTTATCTTTTCACATTAAAAAAATTAAATGCTTATATCTGTTGAAGGATTAGAAATTCGATGACGAATAGGGCAGTTACTTGTGGCTTTAACAACAGCAAATATCATAATCTCAAAAATTCTCATAAGACAGATTACTTGCGATACACAGTTGGAGAGCACTGAAAGCTTATGTTGTAAGCCGAGCAGGACGAGCAGGATGGTTTAATAAACATCTTAATTGTTCCCATCCAAAACTAAATCATAATATATTCACTCATGAGCACTCACTACAAAGCACAGATCTTTGATAAGCACTAATTAGTTAACTGATTACTTTCTTATCAAAAAGCAGTGGTGTTAAACTCTCTCTGTAAGTAAGCGGTTTGTGTATTAAAAATTACAATGAGACATATATGCTAATCTTAAGACTTTCCAAATTTGCTGATAAAGTTTACGGATCGATTTAAATCTTCAGTGATTTACTGATGTAACAGTGAAATGAAATGAAATGAAACCATGCAGAGTGGTTCTTAACAGAGTGAGATTTTAAGAAAGATAAATTAGGCATTTTAATCAGACAATCATCTCTCTTTATCAAACTAATTAAATAAATTGGGGAAAAATGGGAAGTGGGACTAAACACTCAAAGGTATTTATGCATTTATATACGGGCAAGTGGGAAACAAATTGAAAAGCAAAATATGGCGGTGAAAAAAAGACGAAGAAGGAAAGATGCAATTAATGGAAGTGTATGTGCAGCTGCTAATTGGTCTTTAAACATTTGCATTCATAAGTAAGTAAGTTAGCAAGAAAGTAAACCAATCCTTCACTACCGAAATGTATCTACCCTTCCGTTTTCAATCCTCCAATTGTTTTCATTAGATTTCATTAGACGACAGACAGAGTGAAGAAGATGACAGCAGAATTGACAAATTTCTTCACTTCAATTACTCATTTCAACTGATAGTTGCTAAATTGTTTTCATCTAAAGTTGACATCCAATGCTAGAATTTTAAAGCAAATAAATGGCTCTGGTAGTGTTGGATGAGTAGTAGTAGTAGTAGTAATAATAATATGAATTAATTATGTGGCAATCAGGAAGAGATAATTGATTTTGTGATTATTAAGGAGAAGAGGTATTATTATTATTATCATCGTTATTTT